TAGTGTGCGTTAAATCCCCCAATCCCCAACCTTTCATCAGATTTGTAATCTACTGTGCAAGCGCGAGAGGAACCTAAAATTCTATGATAACTACAAAGGCACTTCCCTCCTAAATAGTGCAGTGAGATATCCTCATCCCCGTCCTCCTTAGTCATCGGAACACATAATTTGAGCACAGATTCTTCCCTGAAGATCAATGTGGATAGCGTAGGCACCACCAGCGGGGTTTGCGCAGCCAGCCAACTGCTGAAAACTTCCAGTAAATGAGGACCAAGCTCTACACCCCTTTCGTTGATCTGGCAAAGACCTTCAACACAGAAAATTGCGATGGAATTAGATAATCCTGTGCGAATTTGAATACCATGGCCGATTTACTCAAATGGTAGGTAGAGCAGTGTCGGAAATACCCAATGGAGTGAAGTAGGATTGCGCACGCGCTGTGTGCCTGTTGCCCCCTCCCTCCCCTTGCTCACAACCGGATGGACTGAGCAAACGCAAAATTTTGCAAAAATACATAATTTGTCAGGATATAAAAGGCAAAAAAGGTCAAACTGCACAGAATAATCGTGAAGTAGTCCGTAGGAAAGTAGTACAAATGCAGGAATAGGAAGGTATCAACCGCAGTTCTTGTTATCCTCTTCGAAGATGCCGATAAGGCAGTGCACCACTTCAGATGTGACGGATCGTGTCGACGGCAGTGGTGATGGCATCACTGATGCAGCCGGGGTTAGCCGTCGTCGTCGTCGTCGTCGTTTGGGAATTACGAGGACGAAGAACTGGCGATGGAGGGGGCCGATGAGGAAACAACAGGGAGCTCTGGCGTTCCGGAAAGCCATGAATTTATGTGCTCCTTGGCCTCCTTAGCAGCACCTCCGAAAACAGTCTGCTGGACTTTGAGAGGCCGCAGAGTGGTAACGAAATCCCTTAGTTCAGCAAAACTGCTGTGTTCGCTGTAGGCCGCCCCTAAAAAGAAACGTGCAGAGAGCGTGTGAGGGCCAAGGCAGCACTAAATCACATAGTCTTCATTTAGGTAGAGAGCGGAAATGTGCAAATTGGGCCATCTATATATTTAAAGTACACGATGACTGTGTCAGCGAACAAGGTAAAGGGAGACTTATAAATAGTCACGAATAGAAGCAAATATGCGTGCCCCAGGTTCTTGTTGTAAAGAAGGCGCGATCTCCGGAACGATAGTTTTATTCTGACCTTTCGGCTCCACACGAGGAGCCATCGTCAGAGAAAATGAGAAAACAGCGAGTGTTGGCTACGCGTAAATAGGGTTGGTAGGGGGGGGGAGGTGGCAATTTGTGATTGGTCCATACCCACGCCACGTCCATTCCCACGCTATCTTATCGTATTTCTCCTGTGCGCGTCCCTGGAGTTACGGCGTGTGACCTTGATGTGGCAGCCTGCATGTTTGTAGAGGAACTGGGCCCTGATTTCTGGTCACGGGCACCGATGGCAAAATAACAGGGCGGTATTTCCACATGTCTGTTTATGGAGTTAGGATCTGACACCCAGGCCTCCAGCAGTTTGCGCCCCATTTACGCGTAGCCAACGCTTGCTGTTTGCTCATTTTCTCTGACAATGGCTTCTCGTGTGGAGCCGAAAGCTCAGAAGAAAACTATCGTTGCAGAGATCGCGCCTTCTTCTTTACTTATAAATAGCATCTATCACTTACAGGTACCAACCATGCCCCTTACGGGAAACCCATGAAATGTCACTTGAGGTGACTGCCAGTCATGTTTGTTCAAGAGTTTGGATTGAGTATTGAGCGCTTTAGCTCATTTTATGCACAGTCTAAATAGCCAACCACTCCACTGAGAACATAATCAGGGTTTGACAAGAATCAATTAAATAGTAAAGTTGCGGCAGTTGGTGCTGTGCCTAAACCGTAGTACACCTAAAAAGAAAAACGCGCATACGTCTATTTTTTGGCCTTTTGAAATGACGAAGTTCCTTTCCGAGACCCGGGATTCCAAAGCCCGTGATTGGAATACTGCTGATTGAGGACAGATCAGAAATGGCCAAACCATTCTTTCTCGTCTAGGTAGGTATTAGTCAATGCGGTCGCCTGCGAGGGTTCTACACAGGAGCTCCAGAACAAAACTGGACAGCACGTGCTTTACTAGACAATGAAGACAAGTCGGTGAACGAAACCCCAGTAAAACTCTGGTTAAGCTTGTGGTGACTCACTCCGGGCAGACGATCATCGCGCGAAGGCTCACCGCTGCCCACGAGTGCATATGTACGGGTCGCCTACACCCGTCTGTCTAGCCCATCACTTGTCAAGGCCGACTCACACACTGGCCGCTCCAGACGCCGTAGCGACTCCCGCGGTCATCTCACTTCAGACGCGCCTCTGTTGCGTGCGGCTGCTCACTTTTCTGACAGCCAATTTTCTACTACCTACTCTCCATTCTTTTTGCACTAAATTCCAGGAAGATAAGAGACACGATCGATATACCGGTCGGGGTTAAAAAACGGGAATAATCACACTATATACTATATACAGTATTCGCCGGTTATAAAGCCCACCTCGGGCCCAGACCAAATTGCGCTTAATAAGCGGCGGG